GAATCTGGCAGTAAGTTTTGGGAGTTCATTTTTAGTCCATCTCGAGATTTTATCTGTAGAAGATAACCTGCTTAATAATTATGCACACCTGAATATAAGACATTTTTCACTTCAGCCTTCAGCCTTCATGAATAATTATATATCAATTATAAATTATTAAATACAAGATTAATAGTAGTTATTAAGATTGATGTCGTTTGGAATTGGTAAAATGTGCTTGGAACAAAATATGATCAGAATATCAACTTGTATAATAATTATGCATGCACTGTATTTTTCCTCTTCTGCTGTCGAGGTAATGCAAGGAATGTTGTGATTTGGTTGTCAAGGCAGCCAATCAGAATTTAGCAGCCTCGGTCTCTGATTGGCTGGAATTATGGCACATTGTAAGGCTGGGTTGTGTTGAGCAAGCAAGCTGTTGGCATTTTGCGAGCACTGAGGGGGGCATCAGGTGAGCAAGCTAGTGAAACGTTGCACGCGCAAAAGAGAAGGTCTGCACACATCCAAAAACGTATTTTAAATGCAAAATTGATTTCCGTGCGCTCGAAAGACTTTTTTCTTTGCGAAACGAACATTTTCTCCACAAACTCAGATCGCGCGTGTGCAAAATGCACTTTTGTGCGCTCAAAATATGATCTTTCGCGCGCAGAATTGTGGCAGAAATGTAAGCCCATACAAACCGGGCGTTTGTTTAAAACAGCTCCAGTTTTGTCCGCAATGTTTCATTTTAGTTCAGTCGAAACTTTTATCTAGTCAATTTGCCATAGAAAGGAAAAGTCTATGTTCCTATTTAAAATAATTAATCACACTGTCATTGTGACAAAAGATGTTTTGTATACATATTTCCTGGCATTAGAGATGTTCATTCTGCACCAGATGGAAGTATCTCAGATTCAGAATGAACAGGATGAGTATAGAGTCCTGATATATACGCACATCTTTAATACTAATCGTGAAATAAAATATTAGGATATGCACATCCAGTCGTCTGTGACCTGCACGTGACTGATTGGATGAATGGTCGATAAAGATGCACTCTGGGTTGAGTGGCGAAGGATTTTTACCAGGGGTGTGGACTCGAGTCACTTGACTCGAGACTTGACTCGGACTCGAGTCCCAAATTTGATGACTTGCGACTCGACTCGACATAATTAAAGAAGACTTGAGACTCGACTTAGACTTTGACAGCAAGGACTCGAGACTTGACTTGGACTTGAGCCCTGTGACTCGGAAAGACTTTATGATCAGATTAAGTCGCGATTATAGACGCGTCCCTGCAGCGTTGCGCTTGACTGGCAATAAACCAGAGACTGTGTTCAGGGAGCGCTGGATATATAGGCTAGTATACATTACTGGAGTAATAGCGTAACTTGCGACAAAAGAACAGAGATAACAAAAATAAATAAATAAAAAATGACATGATTCGTCTAGTAGCGATCTCCGCTCGTGAAAAGCGCCGCCCAGCAGACACACGGAGCGGGCATGAGAAACTTCACTGGTGCTCGCCTCATCATCATCACTGTGACTGCTGTTAAACGCTAAACATATTCCTCACTTCTTCTGTTTGTCCGACACCGAGAGACTTGAATCTTAAAGCTGAGGACTTGCAACTCGACTTGGGACTTGTCTGTCTTGACTCGGGACTTGAATGCAAAGACTCGAGACTTACTTGTGACTTGCAAAACAATGACTTGGTCCCACCTCTGATTTTTACCAATAATTCACACATTAAAAAACATTACAGGTAGCAGATATTTTAGACACAATGTTGCAGTTGTTCCACGCAAATAAGCACTGAGACTGATCAGCAGTCAGTCGAGGCAGATTCCTTCAAAGCAGCTCTACAGAAGACAACAGAGTCATTATTCAGATCAAGTTAGTTTTTATAATGGCTGTTTTGATGAGTTATTTAAGGTTTTATAAAAATTTTATATATCTCCCAAACAGAAGGATTTCATAAAGTGGTGACGTGTAAATGATGGAAACTCACAATTCAGCCTAATAAATGATTCATCGCTATCCAAACCCTGAAAACAACTAAAGTAAATGAAGAAACAAACATTTCCATTAGTCAGCATTGAACTGTTTTCTAATATATATATACGTATACGTTTCTATACGTATGCAGGATTTCTCCAATCATTCAGCACTCGTAAACTCCGCCCCTCAAGCTCACGCTCATTTGCATACACATGAGAGAGCCACGCCCACATCTCAACAACCGATGCACAGAACCAAGTCCCGCCCTACGTTTGTTGTTTTTGATAATCCTTTACGCTCAGAAGTGCATCACAATATGAAAGAAAAGATCTGACTCCACTTTAACAAATCTAGAGTCTATTTCAACAAAGACATTACATTTAGTCATTTAGCAGTCTTTTTTATTTTATTTATTTATTTGAGAGAATTAGAAGCCAATAATATATGATAAACTTTAGTTGCACTGATGTCCTGCAGGGGTGCAGTGTGTTTGAGTTCAGCAGGTCAGCAGCACAGGTGTGGAGTACTGTATCTGCCAACAGCTGCTCTCTAAACACAGCTCAGATCACGTTCCCTGCCAGCTGGAGCCCAACCGATCCAAACACACCGAGAGAGACTGCAGACGGAGCACATACTGCAGCAGCATCTCAGACACTAAACTAGCGCTCAGCTCAGAGGTTTCCGTATGCAGGATTTCTCCAATCATTCAGCACTCGTAAACTCCGCCCCTCAAGCTCACGCTCATTTGCATACACATGAGAGAGCCACGCCCACATCTCAACAACCGATGCACAGAACCAAGTCCCGCCCTACGTTTGTTGTTTTTGATAATCCTTTACGCTCAGAAGTGCATCACAATATGAAAGAAAAGATCTGACTCCACTTTAACAAATCTAGAGTCTATTTCAACAAAGACATTACATTTAGTCATTTAGCAGTCTTTTTTATTTTATTTATTTATTTGAGAGAATTAGAAGCCAATAATATATGATAAACTTTAGTTGCACTGATGTCCTGCAGGGGTGCAGTGTGTTTGAGTTCAGCAGGTCAGCAGCACAGGTGTGGAGTACTGTATCTGCCAACAGCTGCTCTCTAAACACAGCTCAGATCACGTTCCCTGCCAGCTGGAGCCCAACCGATCCAAACACACCGAGAGAGACTGCAGACGGAGCACATACTGCAGCAGCATCTCAGACACTAAACTAGCGCTCAGCTCAGAGGTTTCGGTCTGTTTTGCTCCATATCACGTCTCTTCTCTCTGTCTAGTGCACAGAAAACATCCAAAGAGTTGCTTTTATTGCACTTTCTGTAGATTTCAACCTTTAAAGAGTTGTTTCTTTTACAAACAGCAAACGTTACAGTTTTATTCCTCTCTATAATCTGAAGGTTTGTTCATATTTCTGATGGTTTCTGGCTCCTCAGAGCGATGATGAGTGTCCAAATCATTAAACCTCATCTAGAAGAGACAAGACAGACAGCCGTAAAACTCTCCTGAACGACGATGTAACTCAATAAATGTAGAAGTCTGACTGAGCGCTGCTGTCTGAATTACATACGAATGC